ACAGTGTGGGGAACTGAGGTCTCCAGCCAACAGCCATGTGAGTAAGCCCTATGAGTAGGGGATTCTCCAACCTCAGTCAAGCCTTTAGATGACTGCAGCCCCTGCTGATATCTTAACTGCAAACTCAAGAGATTTTGAGCCAAAACCATCCAATTTAGTCACTCCCAGATCCTATAAAAAATATGTGAAATACGAAATGTTTGTTGTTATAAGCTGCTAAGTTTTGGCATAATTTGTTATAAAGTGATGTATAACTAATACAGAATGACCCAGAGGTTGGCCTGATTCCCCTGAAGTTGCTCCAGGGAAGAAATTCTTTCACTGAGATACTTACTCCATATTTTGGCTCTGCTTTTTTGTGTATAGAGGCTTCATTCTTCAGACAATTTCATCCAGATACCTGGGTAAGATCCCTATCATCAGATTTTGGTCTACAGGATTATAATAACTTGTGATCCTAGAAAAGCAAAAAGATCTTGTTTCTCCCAGTCTCCATATTCAAATCTTAAGGAAGATTCTTTTGCATCCAGGTTGTTTCAAGCCCATTTCTAAAATCAATAATACTGGCCAAGTGGAATGGGCCTTCTGATTTTCCGATGTGGTCTTATGTCAGCCGTATGCCTACAGGGGGGGCAAGGATGAAAGGTACAGTAATAAGAAGTCTGGATGGCATCACATAAGGCAAGAGTTTCTCTAAAGAAAAAATTTTTTTAAAGAAAAAGAGGTGCAGAAGTAAAAAACAATAGGTATCTACTTCCCGTATTTAACTTCTGCTATCACTGTGCATAATAATAAATGTCTACATTCAAGGGGTCAGTATTGGCATTTGTGGGATGTCTGCAAGGCAGTGAAGTTCACTTGCAATGGACTAATGCTACATGTGCTAAAGATAAATGAACAGAGGAGAAAAAGTAGCTCCAATTATAAACATAGAAGGTGGTAGAATCCTTTTGTAAGCATCGGAATCTAAGCTTTGTTTTTTATGATAAGGAACAAAATAATTATTTAAAATACTTTGAGCCCTAACTGGTTTGGCTCAGTGGATAGAGCATCAGCCTGCAGACTGAAGGGTCTCAGGTTCGATTCCGGTCAAGGGCATGTACCTTAGTTTCGGGCACATTCCCAGTTGCGGGGTGTGCAGGCAGCAGCTGGTCGATGTTTCTCTCTCATCGATGTTTCTAACTTTCTATCCCTCTCCCTTCCTCTCTGTAAAATACTCAATAAAATATATTTTTAAAAATAAATAAAATACTTTGAAATTTCCAATTAATTTAACCTTCTTCCCAGTAAACTTGGTGCAAGAAGAGGAAGTGGCCTGATTGCTTGGTAATCACCACCCAGATCACAGGAAGGGGCTTAGGGCTGCCTTAATTTAGACCTTCATCTTTTCTCACTTAATTGGCTTATAACCATACTGAAGTGTGGAGTTTAGGGATGCACACTTTGGTGATAAAACAATAAATATATGCAAAGAACGAATTATTATAAAAGTTGAGAGTGGTCACTACTGAAGGGTGGAAAACGGTTAAAACAGAAGCGGATCATAGGAAGAACTGCTGGAGAGGCTGGAAAAAGTCCTACTGGTTGTTAAAAGGGTGTTTGCCTTGTAACAGTTGTTTTCTGTAAGTTTTGAAATCAGGAAGGGTGAGCCCTCCAACTTTGTACTTCTTTTTCAAGATTGTTTTGGCTATTCTGGGTCCCTTGCATTTTCATATGTATTTTAGGATTAGTTTGTCTATTTCTTCAAAGAAACCAGGTAGGATTTTGATAGAGAATGTGTTGAATCTGAGTAATATTAAGTCTTCTAGTCCATGAACACAGGATATCTTTCTATTTCTTTAGGTGTTTAATATTTTTAAGAATGTTTTGTAGTTTTCAATGTACATGCCTAGTACTTCCCTTGTTAAATTTACCCCTGTGCATTTTATTCTTTGTGTGGCTGTTGCAAATGGAATTATTTTCTTATTTTCAGTTTTAGTTTTTTCCTTGGTAATATATAGAATACAATTAACTTTTGTATCTTGATCTTGCTGCAACCTTGATAAACTCATTTATTAGCTCGTCCTCTAGTCCAAATAGTTTCTGTCCTCTCCCTTCCCCAGTTCATACGTTGAAATCTTAATCCCAGTTAGTAATGGTATCAGTAGGCGGGAGTTGCTTAACTGAAGAAGGTGGAATCCTCATGAATGAGATTAGTTTCTTGTAAAAGAGGCTCCAGACCTGGAAGCAACCTGTCACCTGACCATGCTGACACCCTGATCTGGTACTTCCAGCCTCTAAACCTGTGAGAAGTAAATGTTTGTTTTTAATAAGCTACCCAGTCTGTGGTATTTTGTTATAGCAATCTGAATGGACCAAGACAGCTCTAATACTTCTTTTGTGGATTCCTTAGCATTCCTACATACAAGATTATGTCCTCTGAAAATAGAAATAGTTTTACTTCTTCCTTTCCAATCTAGATGACTTCTATTTTCCTTTCTTGCCAGTTGCCCTGGCTAGAGCCTCCAGTGCAATGTTGAAAAGAAGTGGTGAAAGCAGATACACTTAGGGGGAAAGCTTTCAATCTTGCACCCTTAAGTAATGTTACCTGTGTGGGTTTTTTATAGATGTCGTTTATCAGGTCTTTTATCAGAATTCCCTTATATTCCGAATGTTTTAAGTGATTTTTTATCATGAAAGGGTGTTAGAAATTGGCAAGTGATTTTTCTGCATGATTGTGTGGTTTTTGTCCTTTATTCTACTAATATGATGTATTACATTGATTGATGATTAAACCAACCTTACTTTCCAAGGGGGAAATCCCACTTAGTCATGGTGTGTAACCCTTTTTGTGTGCTGATTTCAATTACCTAGTATTTTGTTGAGAATTTTTGCATCTATATTCCTAAGGAATATTTGTCTGTAGTTTTATTTTTATTTTATTCTTATTTTTTTATTATTGATTAAGGTATTACATATGTGTCCTTTCCTCCCCCTCATTTCCCCCCCCCCCACTCATGCCCTCACCCGCCTGGTGTCTGTGTCCATTGGTTAGGCTTATGTGCTGCATACAAGTCCTTTGGTTGATCTCTCCCCCTTACCTTCATCCTCCCCTATCTTCCCTCTGAGTTTTGAGCTTCTTCTTTTTCACAGCTGCCTAGTACACCATTGTATAAAATGTACCAGCTTTTTATCCACTCATCTGCTGTTTCCAGATCTTAGCTATTATAAATAACGTTGCTATGAACATAGGGGTGCATGTATCCTTTCTGATTGGTGTTTCTAGTTTCTTGGGATATATTCCTAGAAGTGGGATCATGTAGTTTTATTTTGACAAAGTCTGGTTTTGGTAGCAAAGTAATATTGGTCGCATGGGATGAGATAGAAAGTGTTCCCTCTCTTCTGTTTTTTGGAAGAGGTTGTAAACATTTGGTATTAATCCTTTCAATATTTGGTAAAATTCACCAGTGAAGCCATCTGGTCTCGGACTTTTCTTGTGACAAGTTTTTTATTGCTAATTCAACCTCTTTGTGATAGTTCTATTCAAATATTTATTTCGTCTCAAGTCATTTCCATACTTTGTGTGTTTCTAGGTGTTATAGACACCAGCATAAACAGAATGGACCTTATTCAAGGTTTGGCTCAGACGTCAAGACTGATGACATCACTACACACACCAAGAGTAAATGAAAGTTTTATGACTCACATCACAAGGCCTTCTGTGGAGAGCAGGGCAGGCCTCCCAACCTGGTCTAAGAACAGGGGAAGAAGACTGACTTGGAGTTTATATGGTGGTTAAAGAGTGAGGCTAGGCTGAGGGTTTTCACATGCAGAAGGTCCTTGAATGGTTTGATTGTCCCATCAGTGCCAAATAAGGGAGAGCCTGGGCTTTCTTATCAGCTTGCCCAGATGTGAGGCAGAAGGGAATGAGACAGGAGTGAGGCATAAAAGATGTTAGGAGTCAAACACGAAAAAAATGGAATTAGGCTTTTTGTTACATTAGTAATATGTCCATTTCATCTAATTTGTTGGCATACAGTTCTTCTGTATTCCCTTATAATCCTTGGTATTTCTGTAAGGTTCATAGGAATGTTCCCTTTTTCACTTCTGATTTTAATAGAGTCCTCTTTCTCTTCTCCCTCCCTCTCATTAGTCTAGGTAAAGGTGTGTCTCTTTTCTTCTGCCTGCTCTAATCTGCTGTTCAGCCCTTCTAGTAAAATTTTCATTTCAGTTATACTTTTAAGCTTCACAATTTCTATTCGTTTCTTTTTTAAAAAAATTTTTTTCTTTATTTGTATTCAGGATTTGATGAAATTTCATTCTCCTATTTTCCTTAAGTTCCTTAGAATGGTTTTCTTTAGTTCGCGAGTATCTAAAGAGTTGAGTTAGTCTTTGTCTAATAAGTCCAATATCTGGGCTTCCTAGGGGCTGTTCTTTTTTTCTCTATATGTGGGCCATGCTTTCTTGTTTCTTTGCATGACTCATAACTTTTTGTTGAAAACTGGGTATTTTAAGAGATATAATGTGGTAACTCTTGAAATCAGTCTCTCTTCCCCTCCCCAGGATTTGTTGTTGCTGCTGCTTGCTGTTGTTTGTTTCTTTGCTTAGTGACTTTTCTGGACAAAGTCACTAAGCGAAGAAATATGATTTAGTATTTCCCAGGGCAGGGAGTTCACATCACCATCTCATGGCAACTCACTGCTTTGCTGAATCACTCTCATCCTTGTACTGAGCCCAAAATATTTCTCCCATTTTGCCCTTGAACACCTCAAAATAGAGCTATTATCATTTCTATGATATTCTTCCACTATTTGAAGGCTCCTCATAACCCTTTCTAACTGCCATAGCCTGAGGTATCCATTTGACATCAAGCAGAATCTGGAAGGTCTAGGTGGAAGAAATAAATTCCCTTTGAGATCACAGAGATCTAATTGTTTTCCTATCTCCCTTCCCACAAGTGAATCCTTGCACCACGTCTACTCTATGAACACTTCCAGTTACACAGACACACAAGAAAGAGAGAGAGAGAAGAGGTTCTATTTATTGCTCTTTGGGAAAGGTTATATAGAACATAATTTGGGTAAAATTACATTCTAGTTGCAGATTCATAAAACTTTGCTTAAAACCAAATTAACTTTCATGATACTATCAAATTCCCTCTCCTCTGCATACACAGCAAAGTACCTTAATCATAGTCTATATAATCCTCTGTTGTTTTTAAATGATTAAAGCAGACATAATACACAATGCAGTTGATATTAAATATCTTGAGAATGATAAATCAATAGAACTACTTTCACTCTTAAGCATTAACTTGTCACTTATAAATGTTCTGCACACACATTTTTCATTTTAGATTTTCTCCTTAAAAGGACTTGCGAACTATTCATTATTATCCACTATTTGTACACACACATCATAAGTCTTCCAAAATAACATTCAAAATGATTCTTAATATTGCCTCATAAATGTTAACCTTTAAGGAACATTCAATTTAAAAAAATAAAAGCTCAGGTCTGGACTCTGTAATGCATGTTCAGATGTGTCAAGATCTTATTTCCCGCTGACCTGATAAAAGCCTCCGACAGCATACAATGTGCCTGCCTCTTCTTCGCTCAACTCAAAGGAAGTCAAATAAAGGAGAAAAAAAATGCTTGAAATCACAGTGACCCAAGGATTTGAATTAATAATTACATTAAATAACCATAACTTTTTGTTTAACTATTCACATTCCACACAGTGGAAATTATCCTTTCCTCCAGATTTTTCACTTACATTTTAAACTTTGAAGAACTACAAGAACAACAACAACAAAAACAACTTACAGACTTGCAGGATGTGTGTTTTTCTCGTTCAATGCCAAGCACAAAGTGTACATCATAAAATTCATATGTGGTGTTTGGCATTATTTTAATAGGAAAGATTGAGATTGCAAATAGTTGCCACTTAAAAAAAATTCTACTATAGTAATGAAAAAACATATCAGTACATCATTGGTGACTCCAATACACTATGTAACAGATATGGCACTTTTAATACATGTTGGGAGACACACCCGTACTTGTGAGAGTTTAATATAGGCACAGTAAGAAAAGCAGACGGTTCCCTCTTTGGCGAGGCTGTGTTTTTAGGGCAGTTATGCTGCTGATTATCCCAGTGAAGTTCATTTTGAGGAAATTCTCTTTACTTAAGCCAAATTCAACTTACATGCAAGAAGTGGTACAAGCTACTAAAAGATTACTGCTGCCAATTTAAGTCGCCTCTTTTAACACAACTGCATGCTGATGGCACAGTTAAACCAAGAGAAATTCAGTGACGCTGGTTCTGAATGTCATTTTTCCTCGAGTATGGTTTTACATTTTTAGTTCCTTTCCCTTTCTCTTCCTTTCCCCCACCCTCAAAAATTCTGGCTTAGCATTTGTGTGCTTAATTAAATCCATTCTGTGGTTTATTGCTGGAGGATGTGAATGCTAGAAAGATTTAGGGCAGGGGCATAGAGTGTATAAGAAATGCACAAATTCACCTAGTGTAGTAGGATCATCAGTAGTGAGTTTAAAGGTTTTAAAATTAGACCCAACATTTTGGGTGTTCAAAATAACTTCTGCTGCAAAGTATGGTTCTTGTTTAGTTGTTAAATGGGAGAACACTGAACCAAAACAAAAATAAAATAAAAACAGCCTCTTTAGTTACAATGGGCCTTTGAATGCTGGAGCCTTGATGGGCAACTGAAACACGAGTCTATGGTATTGGTTTCCCATGTTACACATGACTTGGGTGGTGAGGCTGAGATGATACAAGACAAAAAAAAAAAAGTGTTGGGGGGCGGGGTGCCGTTTACTTTTAAAACCTCAGACTTGAAGGGAACAGGTTAGCCAAACCCAAAATGCAGTAAGGTTCACCCACACCACACTTTGGCCATTACACAAATCTTAAGTAGCTATTGAGAAGTAGCCCAAGTTTAATTTTAATCAGAGGACAGCCTCTACCAGTATACTCTCAAGAGTTACAATGTTCCATGAATCCCACCAATGTTACCATGACAGCTAATGAACCCAAATGCTCGGATTTCTTACCGGGGCTTCCCACTAGGCTCTCACGGGGCAAAGGAAGAAGGGAAGGTCACATCTCCTCCCAGGCATTGAACTACTCCTTAGCCAGAAGCAACCTCCTTACTTCCTCACTCTGTCCTGCTCTCCAGCTCAAACTTCTCTCAATGGCTATAACCAAAGATTCTTCCAGCTAGAATGGAGCAGGCCCTCCATGCTCTCCTCTGGTTCTTCACTGTCAGGGACACCCAGCAGAGGCAGACCCTTGGCAAACAGGAGATTAGATTGAAACAGTCACTGAGATCCTACAAAGGGGTTGACTATGGAAGGGAGGAGGAAGGCAGGAAGCAAGCACAGGTTGAAATACCCCTTCCAAGTCTAATACAGCACTAACACAGGTCTCCTGCCCTCAAGAGTGGCCTCTTCCAACAACATTCATTCTAAAGGGAGAGTCCCCAGGAGGGCACATAGAAGACAAAGGCAGAACGGGAGCTCAGACCTGCACCTTTGAAAATGCCGGGGGTGGTGTGGGCTTTCTGGGCCGTCCTCTGTGGAAGCAGATTCATTTAGGTGATAGGAAGTGCCCTCCAGCAAAGACTATGTTTCCTCTGGTGTCTGCAGACAGCCACAGGCACCCATGCAGACGCATGCACACAAACTACGCACTAGCAGGTGCCCGTCAGGAGGCAGCTGGTGGTTCTTCTTGTCTCTAGATTTAAGCCAAGTTCAAATCAGGTTGTTTTAGGTCTGGCTCTGGGACTGCCTGGGGCTGCATCCCTAGGGCAGGCAGGGTGTCCTGGCTTAATCCAAATCGATGGAGATGCAACGGCACTGCTTCACACGCGTCACCCTCTTCTTCTTGGTGGGAGGCTGTAGTTCAGGGCAGTTGAGTGTGACCATCATGGTGGTGAATTTCTTGGGCTTGCAGAAGGAGCAGGACTGGAAGGAGCCTTCCTCCTTCCGGATGTGCCTGGGGATGTAGAAGGAGTTGCACTGGCCGTAGCAGAAGCGGTTGATGATGGTGCGGCTGTTGCAGCCCTCCTCATGGATGGTCTGCTTGAGCGGCTGGGTTTTGCACCAGTCTCGCTTCAGGTATTTGCGCTCGGTCACATGCAGGGCCTCCTGGCTGGACTCCAGCACCTCCTCCCCTGGCATGGCCGTGCCTCGCCCTTGGCCCCGCCCCCGGTTCCTGGAGCCAGGCTGCTGGGGAGACTGAGTTTGCTCTGAGTCATTGTGCTGGGCCTTGTCTGGTGGGGGGATGGCACCTTGGGACCCATTCTTTTTCCCTTCAGCAGCTGGCAGCAGGGTCCCCAAGAGGAGAAGCAGGGCTCCCACAGTGTAGGCGGTGCGGCTCATGCTAAAGGAAGGAAGCACAGAGAGGGAAGACATGAAAAACAGAAAAGTTGATTAAAATGTTAATATTGCCATGTGCTGCATAACAAGTTTGGTCCGTGACGGACCGAAGATACAAAAAGTGGCCCTGGCCCTACCCAGTTTGGCTCAGTGGATAGAGCATCGGCCAGTGGACCAAAGGGTCTCAGGTTCGATTCCAGTTAAGGGCACATACCTCCGTTGCAGGCTCTTCCTCCCTGGCCCAGGCCCTGGTCAGGACTCCTGCAGGAGGCAACCAATCCCTGTGTTTTTCCCATACCAATGTTTCTCTCTGTCTTTCCTTCTCTATCCCACTCCCCCTAAAAATCAATGGAAAAATTTCCTCGGGTGAGGATTAACAAAAGAAACAAACAAAAAGTGATCCTGTAAGATTATAATGGAGCTAAAAAATTCCTATTGCCTGTGACATCGTAGCCATTGTAACACTGTAGCACAAGGCATTACTCCCGTGTTGTAGTGATGCTGGTGTGAACACACCTACCGTGCTGCCAGTCATATAACAGTACAGCACATACAGTTATGTACAGTCCATAAGACTTGATAGTGATGATAAACGACTATGTTACTGGTTTACATATTTACTATACCATATTTTTATTATTTTAGGATGCACTCTTTCTACTTATGAAAAAAGGTTTGCTGTAAAACAGCCTCATACATCTTGTGTTTACCACGTGTTTTGATTAAACCCTTTTCTCTTGCGCTTGATTTAATCTCGTGTTGTTTTATACAGCAGCATACTGTATAGGCTTGTGCCCTAGAAACAATAGGCTATACCCTATAGCCTAGATGTACAGCAGCTTAGATTATTCAGCAGTTCTCAACCTGTGGGTCACGAACAATGAAAATACGTCCTGCATATCAGATATCTATATTACGATTCATAACAGTAGCAAAATTACAGTTATGAAGTAGCAACGGAAATAATTTTATGGTTGGGGGTCACCACAACATGAGGAACTGTATTAAAAGGGTCACGGCATTAGGAAGGTTGAGAACCACTGATCTGAGTCCATGAGCTTTATGATGTTGACTCACGGGGAACATCACCTACTGTATCCTGTGTTAGGTAGCACATGAAATAGCAGCTATTATGTCAGCAGGCACTTGTTAAACATGTAGGTAAAATATTTCACTTACTCTTCACAATATCTCTACGAATTGGTACTATTATTCCTATTACTCTCCTGGCCATCAGGCCGTGAATAAGTCGAAATCTGAACTCAGCCCAGGCCCTTCTCTTCATCACATGTGCTCCCGGAGGAATTGCTTCCTGGCTTCTGACACCAACTATGTTTGATTTGTATAGTGGTCACTTACCTGTATTCATTCCTGTACTTGACAATATTTAGTAAGTTCCTACTATTTCAATGCCAGATTACTTTGCACCTCTTTGGGAAACTTATCTTGTTTTTAGCAAAAATAAATTAGCTTCACATGCCAGGCAAGTCTCCCAGTCTTTCCCCCTAACTAGCCTCAGTGCTCCCCGAGTTGTTCAGTTGGTTGGATGCTTATGATGTTCACTGTTTTCAGGCGTAGGAAGGTGACCAGTGGGGAGACCAGAAGGCACGGACCGAGGGAGGATACTTCACAGGAAGGGCGCTGGATGGAAAGTTGAGACTGAGTTTCTACTGGAATTCCTCGGGCACCAACTTGCTATCTAACCTGAGGAAAATCACTTTACTTTTCAATAAATGACTTCATTTAAGCAACGGTATATACCTCATCTCCCCAGATAGGCTATTCAGATCAGATCTGATGTAAAAGTGAAAGCAATTTGAGAACTAACCAAACGTATGACGGTACTGCAGACAGAATTAACTACTTTACCAGAAAGATCTTGTAATTCACAAAGACTCCTGGACCCCTCATTTATTCTCATTTTTAAATTGAGTACAGATATTCATTATATCATTCTTTACACAAAGATATTTACTTTTCTACTTTAAATGATGAAATGTGTCATTCACATATGTGTGTGCGTGTGTGCGTGTGTGTGTGTGTGTGTGTAAAATTTAGAAGGCAGAAAATAGGCACAAGAGAGAACAGGTGAGTGCAAATATTTGCATTAGTAAATGCCATAGACATGTTAAATAGATTGGGGACAGTGAATTATTGTGGGTGGGTCTGGATTTAGATAAAGATCAGAGAGGAAAATGGCATATGAACAATGACAAAAAAATTAAATAAGGGGGGAGGCAGGGGGAAACCGGACAAGAGAATAAAACAGTAAAGCAAAGATGGAGAGAGAAAAATTAATGGAGTAAGGAATGTAAATTGGGAAAAGGAGTATTGATCTGAGGAAGGGTGTTCAGGAAGGGAGGGCAGACAGAGGAGGAAGAGGAGGAGGAGGAGCAGGAGGATACCTTAAAAAGGAAAGCGCAAGAGAGAAGCATCAGACTATTAGGATTCTCCTGGGACAGCTTCTCAAACCTGAACATGCAGTCACCTGGGGACGGAAGTTGTTAGAGTGCAGGACTGCCTTTGAATGAGCTTTGAGTAGGAAGGCCTGGAGCACTTGCAGTCACAGCGTACAGAGGGACGAGGGCATTTTCAGATTCACAGCCTCCCTCCTTAGGCCATCACACCAAATCTGACCTGAATCCTGAAACTTCCCCTGGCCTGGCCTGGCCTGCCCCTGGACTCATCACAGTTTTCTGAACTTAAGGACAAAGATGTGGAGCATCATTTCCCTGCTCTCTTCTGAACACTGGCTACCCAAGATAATCACAAAGTGCAATTTAACCTTATCACAGCCCCCCACCCCGCCCCCAAGGAACTATCAGCTAGAGCAATTACTTTTCAAAGACAAAGGCAGTGTGGACTCTACATTCTCTACAGGACAGCCCTTGTCCGTAAACACCATGCAACCCGAAGGACACTGTCAAATTAAGATAATTAGATATTAAATCTAAAATATCCTTAAGTGACCCATGGACACAGATAATAGGGTACTGAAGGCCTGGGTCGGGGACAGGCTGGAGGGGGTCAATGGAGAAAAGAGGAAGACATATGTAATATTTTCAACAATAAAGAATTATTTAAAATAAATAAATAAATAAATAAATAAATAAATAAATAAATAAAATATCCTTAAATGGCACCATCTTCCCAACATTAGCCTAATACTTTAGGGCGAGTTCAAGTTTGGAGCTGATGATGTGACATTTAGCTCTCTGCTCTGACTGCAGACTCCCTGGCTTTTGTCAGTTTATGTTACAACATCCCTGTTCTTTAAACAGAGCCCTTTTTTTTTGCCTCACCACCCAAAAAAAAAAAATTAATTTCCTTGTTTTGTCTTTTTAAAAAATCACTCACAAGAAAAGTCCAGTTATAAAACAGGGCTGATTTTCTCCAGAGCCCAGGATAGCTGGAGCCAGGACCGTCCAGTCTCCTCCGCAAATGCTATAGAGTGAAACTGAAACGTTTTCACAAGTTTCTGCTATTTATTCAGCTCAGGGACAGGGTCTAAACTAAAACAGTCTCTGCCCATTTCAAAGAGGAGCATAGACGAGAGCCCAGGGCCTATACCCACTCTGTCCCTCCTCCCTCCAGGATAATGCAGCCCTCCCAGAGCAAGGCCGGCAGAGCCCACATCACAGAGGCTGATCTGAGACTGACTGGGAATATACACTGCATAGGACAGGTTCGCCTCATGAGGCCATCCTCCCACAAATATCTGTCTCAAAATGTCTTTTTTTTTTTTTTCTGCAGACCAATGTAGGACCTTCTTTGTACTCGGCTTTTCCTTCTTGGCCTTTTCACAGCTGTAATTACATAAATACCTAAACTGAGAGCTGTGAGGGTTTACTCGTCACCTTATCCTCAGTGCCTGGCACACAGTAGGTGCTCTTACATGATTATTACAGACCATGTTGATTTACAGAGTTCCCACTTCTTTGCATTTTAAAACTCCTTCCCACATACCAATGAGCAGTGCAGCCGACTGCAATCCTTTCGCTCTCCCCCTCAGTGTAGCAAGCTCCCTACAGTTTAGGGAGCTTCTAGGTCCTTGCCTTCCTTTCTCTAGGAGAACCCCAAATAGCCACTGCTTCTTACCTGACCCCAGGCGTAAGGCTATGGGTTTCGTCCTCTAATTGAAGTCACTGCACTCACTATGGCAGAAACCAACAATCCAGCAGTAAACCCCAAATTAGTCAACTGTGGTTTGCAGTGTTAGTTTGGACAGGCTTCCTGTTCCTATGGGAGCATGTGTACCCCATAAGCCAAAGGAATCTAGAATGACAGGCTGGTGGTTTCTTTTTAATAAGAAAAGTAAATTTGTCTCAAAATAAGATTTATTAGATGTGGAAAATATTATGAAATGTTTTTTTTCATTTTTAAAAAGCCTATTCTTCAAAGGTCTTCAGCGCTAATTGTGAGGTTTTAGAGTTCTTAAATCATATTAATTAGCTATTTGGAGAGGAGTGAAAACCAACTTCTGGAATCTCAATCAACAGAGACCTCTGCTTCTTAGAGATGAGAAGAGCTCTGAAGGACTCCACACACTCCACATGAGTGAGAGTGAGGGGGATGAGAAGGGTAATGAGTACTGGAACCAGGGCTCTGTCTAGTCATTATGGCCAACCATCTAACCCACCCCTATCCCTGACCCACCCTCCCCGCCGCCCCCCCACACACACACACATCAACCTGGTCCTGATAACTCAGTGAAGGATATAAGACTATTTTGCTCTTGAAATCCCATTTGTCTGGCCACAAAATAATTTGCACTTTGTAAATATCCTAGACATGGAGGAAATCAAGACGATGTAAATTGCTTGAGGACCATTCTTTTCCACATCAACACCTATCGGAGTGCCCCATTATCAAAACTCAATCCAAATGCTAATCCAGACTTAGGTTCCTATGAATTATCACCCATGTACAACCATGAGTTTTGTTTGGTAATTTGCATATACAGCATAACCCACTCACATCATTAAATTAAAGCTGTAACTCGGATCCAGACTGCATCATGACACCCACAAAGACCTCCCTTAATTTTCCTTTACAGACAATAACCTTTTAACCTTGCCTCAATGTCCCCTTAATGCATTTCTCCTCCAAGTAATGTGATCATATTGTCTGTGGTGAGCTTTCTCTACTACTGTTCCCTACCAGCAAGACCCATCCCATCTTTTTTATTTTTCCTTTATCACCATCCTCCCCTCCTATCCACTTGCCCCATAGAATATACATACTCTCAAATCAGTTTAACCACCTCTGTCCTGAGCAGGATGTGGTGATTTATTCCAGTCTTTACAGGACTATGAGCACGTAATCTAATTCTGGGGAATCAAAAATGAAAATGCTATATGTGACTGTTTCCAATGTCCTGGTGTCTTTGAAAAAGTTTAGGCTAGCTCCTTTCTGCCCTCTTCTTGCTATATTTCTCATTTTAACTGGCCAACCTGCTTATCACCAGTTAAATGGGAGTGTTGAGTGGGAATTACAGTGAAGAGGCAATGGTCAGAAAGCCAGCAGTCTGTGCCTCGATGTCTGATCAATTCCTCCTGCTGAGTAAAGTTTTAGAAAGACATTCAGCAGGTATGGCATCAAATTATTCTCCCAGCACAAAAAAAAAATCAGGACTGACAGCAAATGCTCTAAGTGCAGACCAGATTTTAGAAGAATCTATTCCTTTATCTTAGGGTTAACTCTTTGAGAAGGGCAAAGTTTATTTTGATCTTTACTTTTTTTAAAAGTCAACTTTTGGGAATTAAATAGAAAATTTAAGAATGTGCTGGGTTGATTTTTTTTTTTTCAGACAAGTTGTACCAAGAAGAAGAGTTGGTGGTTGGCCAACTGGTGGACCATAAAGTCTCAACCTGTACATGTTGCAAGTACCCTAACTATGACCTTGTGATTTTGAACCCCACTCAGGGGGTCCATCCAGCATTGCATAGGGCAGGGAGAAGACCACCTGGTCGTTTCGTATCTCAGGAGCTCTAGGCTCATGGGAAAATTTGTGTGTGTGTGTGTGTGTGTGTGTGTGTGTGAAGTTAATGATTGTATACAATTCTTGCAGTCAACAGGAAATAAGTCTGAAATAAACATTAACTATTCACTAAGCAGCACTATGGAGAGACAGGTAAGTTATAGGTTCTGTCTTGCAGTGAAAGATGTTGGTCCCTGTGTGAGTGTGATTTAGGATTTAATTTCAGAACCACCTTGTAAAAATATCCTGGTGCTGTAGAATGTTACTGCCTCTTCCAGTATCACCACTAATAAGAACAGTCACCTATATTTTTAAACCCTTACTATGCCAGGTATTATGCTAAATTTCGAGCAAATTTTATCATACATTCAACAAAACACGAGATCGATAATATTGTGTTTGTTTTACCAATCAGGGAGGTTAGGAATCTGTCCAAGGTTACACCACCCCCAAGTAGGAGAGCCAAGATTTGAGTCCAATTCTATCTAGCGCTCTAACACATGTCCTTAAGCGCTGCTCTGTGGACACCCACCACAGTATTTAACAAAGGACGTATGGACTTGTTTGTAATGCAGTAACAATTGAAAAATACCTTAAACTCAAATGATTATCTCTTTTGTATCTTCATGTTCACTGTGGAGGAAATTTCTGTCCCAGGAATTACTGTTGCACTTGGCATTTCTAAGAGCATATGTTAAAATGAAGGAAAATTCCTTGCAGATGTATGACAAGGGCTGGTACCACTTCGCCTTCCATAGCAGGCTTAGGCTTACCAGTTCTTCACTCTCTGTTCTAGGACATGCTCCACGGCTTTGCCCTTGACAAGCGTTTCTTGGATTGTTATCACTTTTAATACTGAAACATTAAGATTGGGGGCTTCAGTTTAGAAGACAAGGCGGGCAGGCAGTTCTCATTCAGAGATGTGGGGACTTAAGTTTCTATTCTTCCCTGTGTGAGCACTCACCTACAGACTGTCAGCCAACTTACATTTCCTATAGATCATGAGTTGCCAAAGGGTTGATCTCAAAATGAACTTTTAAGAAAATGGGAAATCTGTGAAATTACTAAATTTACGAAAGACTTTAATTTCTAAATGACCTGGGGGTTAAGCACATGCACACAGACCAACTACAGATCTAAAGAACCCTTAAATAATTAGTGGACCACTGGAAAGTGCAATTTATCCAGTGATAGTAATCAAATTACTTACTGTTGTAGACTTGGGTGTGCCAGGGAGGAGATGATAATCTGTAGTTTTCTTAAGATCTCCCCCTCATTGCTTTGAAAAATCCACCCCTTCAAGTTCCTATGCCCCCCTTCTTCCCCCTCCAAAAAAAAGAAAGAAAGAAAGAGGAGGGGGAGCTGCAAAGCCCTGGGGAGAAAGAAGACTCCTCACCCTGAGACGGGGTTATCTTAACCTCTTCTCCGCTATTTATTTAACTTGTGTGCACCGCCAGAGGGAGGCCACTACGCTGGGGTCCCGGGGACAGTTTAAATCCCTGATGACCCACTTAACACAATAGATTATTTTAATCGATTCTTGTCCTGGCACCATCTCGAAGGGGAACATAAACAGACTCGCACACTGCTGGGATCTGCTCTTTCCAGCAGGAGATCTAATTACCTACCAATGGTCGCCTCTCTGCCCTTGTTCCATTTCTTAAGAGATATTAACCCCTAACTTTGAGGCTATATTTCTGTCTAAAAGAGCCGGGCAGAAGGCGGCAACCGGGTTCGACCGGGAGCCCATGCAGGCCAGCTCTAAACGCACAGGAAGGGACTTCATCGCAGAGCCTCGCTCACCTCACGTTCGCCCCGCGCCGCGCCCAGGGACCGTCACTGAAGAAGGCGCAGAGGAACGCCAGGCTGGGGCGCCCCCAAGGCAGAGCTGGAATTTGAAGACAATGCCAAGCCAGAGTGGGGGCGCGTCTGCCTCCCCCCCACCCCCGCCCCGCCTAATGACTACAATTAACTCTGGCTGATGAGGTGACAGCCCCGCAGCCCCTTCGCCCCTGGCCTTGCTCCCGGCGCTGCCGAGGGGTCAGTGGGCGAGCGAGGGGTGGGAGAGGTCGAGAGGCCACCTGGGCGTCCGAGCCGGAGACCAGCCTCCGCCGCCAGTCCCGCGTGCTCCGTCCATGGCGAGGTGCAGCGAGGCGAGGAGGGGGTCCTCTAGAACACAAACCAAGGGGTACCCGCGGGAGTGGGACCTGGCGGGGTGTCGCTGCCCGGTGCCTGCAAGTCAGAGGTCCCGTCGAGATGCGCATGGGACGGAAAGGAGCCTGAAACAAGCAACCGAGCGCCCACGAGCGCGCGGCCAGCACGTGGGCGCGTGAGCACCAAGGGCTCCTGGAGTCCGCATCCGGGACCAGGTATCCTGACTCCTGCGCGTGTCGATCGCTGGTTCTCCTGATCCTCCCGCCCAGGGCAGGCTGGTCCCCGGCACTCCGACGGGTGCCCCGAGACCAAGAGCAGCCCAGC